CCCTGCAGCTGAACCTTTCGCAGATAGATTTTAATATGCTAACTGATTATCTCTGACAACCAAAGTTTAAAAATAGATTTTTAGAAGCTTTTGCTAAATATTATTAATCAAGTTCATAGGTTTAATCCTTGAAAAAGTTTTAATTTCTGGCCATAGGTCAAATTTTTGACTAGTTAAATAGTTATAACTAGTCACATTTCATGTCTTTTGTGATGTGAAACTCTGAAAGCGCTGCAGTCGGGTGAGCTCATGTTAAACTTTGCATCATTCTGGCCCGAACCTCAGCAGGTTAAATTCATTTAAAAGCTGCTCTAACTGCTCAGCTTTTCTCCTCCGAATGTTTTCCGCTGTAATCCTTGAACTGATCACCTCCTGAAGCCGCTCTGAAAAACGAGCCAACAAACAGTTTCACCAGGCCGAGTAATCACCGACCCTGCAGCCGTCCGGCTCCTTAGCTGCTGAACGCTGCTCTAATTTGTCAGCGTTTTCAGTGGAAACAGCTGCTGCTGCTGCTGGAAAACCAGTTTGACCAAAACAAGTGAACCCATTCATCACCTCCGTTTGTCACCAGAGCCATCACAAGTTCAAAGTTCCCCACGGCCGCGGCGGTGTTCTCGGTTATTGTGTCGTCTGCAGCGCTGTGATGTTTCACGAAGTCTGAAATTGTCGGGTAAATATTTGGGAACGCTCTGCAGGTGAGTTGAGTAAAAGGGCAGCGGGACGTGTTTACGGCAGGAAGAAGAGGAGGAGGAGGAAGAGGAGGCTGATTCAGTTGGAGTGTGTCGGTGGACTCCTCTGTGTGATCTCCAGCTGCCCACGCCATAATTAGAAGTGAGAGGTTATGTATTTTTGTAACGACCTGACAGCGTATTTCCACTCTTCGCTCCGAACGTCGGCCTAATCAACATGGTCACACTGTTTCTGTGGCGGTGACAGCTCTCGCCACAATGGCCGTGACCAAACAAAACGTCACCCATTGGATGGATGAGTGTGTGTGTGTGTGGGTGTGTATGTTTTTGGGTGGGCTTCAACTTCAAGTCAATTCAGCCCCTCACATTCTCCTCTCAAAGGCCTGATTGTCTCGCCTGGATCATTTACATAGAGGTGTCATATAGCTTTAATAGAAGACACATACACATAGATTGATCCTCGTGACCTTCACCGTGTCATGAAAAAGCAGAAAGGTTTTTAATCTTGATGAAAAAAAGAATAATGTTTAGTAAATTTGGCCCCAAATTAAATGAAAACCTCAGACTTCCACGCTCCCCAAAATAACAAAAATACCAAACTGATCGTCTTGTTCTCACACATTTCCTTGGTCTTCCACTCACTAAAGATCCATCTGTGTAAAAGTTGTGTGTTGCACTAATTCAGATGATTAAAACTCCAGAAATCATTCAAAGTTAAAAATTAGATCCTAAATGCTTATTCACAATTGTTAGTGCACAATGGAAATTATGCACTAAATACTTTTAGGCAAAAAGAAGTTACATAAACTATAAAACATCAAATGAAGTTGTGTTATTAGAGCATTAACTTTAATTTGTTGGTTTGAATGAGCAACTCATTTTGAAAACTAACATAAAAAAACTGGTTTTTATTTTGAAAATTTAAATTGTCAACAACTGAAAGACGTAAGGGTGAGAAAATTATGCTTCTCTGTTTTTTTAATGCATCAACGGTGATTATGAAAAGTTTACTTGTGAAAAAAAAAATTCTGTGTAGTGAAAGAGGATAAGAAAACATGAAAGTCCAATCAAGTTTATTTGTGTGGCACATTTCACCGACCAGGCAGTTCAAAGTGTTTTACATCAAGAAAACATGAAGACATCATAAACACATCGGATAGTCAACAACTGTGAAACCAGTAACAGGCATTTTGTCAGGCGCTATGGTTACGATCATCAATACACAAGAAAAAAATCTGACCTTCATTCACAAAAAATAGAAACATCTTTGGAGATGCCTAACAGGCACAAAGCCCACATGTCCAACTAATTCTCAAAACCTGTAGCGTCTGAGAAAGCGAGCGACGTTATTTTGGCTTATGCAGTTCTGCACGGTATTATTCCGGACAGTTTGGCTTCATTTTCCACTCTGGAGCAGAAAGAACTGAATAAGAAGGCTCTCGGAGGACAGAACCAAATCCAGCATTTAAATTTAACGTTTCTGCTAAACATTTTATCTATCCTGCTACATGCTGAAGCTCTGAGTAAGAATCTAAGATGCAGATTCGGTTCATGTCTTTTCATGTGTCATCAACAACCTACTGAAAGTGCTGGCTCTTTAAAATCTAAGCCGTCTTTATCTTTTCTCTTCACCCATTTCAGAAATTCTTTGGACAAATGCCACTGCAACTACAAATATAAGAACTTTCAACTTTGTCTTTGGCTGCCAGATTTATCAACATCCAGTTGTTTACATCCTGGGTCGGCCATTTTACACACGGCTTCGTAACTGTATGTGTAATTCATGTCTGTGCCGGTTTTGATAAAGAAAGCTCAGTGAAACCAAAGAACACATTTCAGAGCTTCGTTCAAAGCATGTAATCTTGCAGAATAACTTTAATATAATGACACAAACAGCATCTCTGACATATTTGGCTCATATGTAAATGAGGTGTCAGGCGTGCATTTAAAGGAAAAGCAGCTTGTGAATTTATAGAAAAACTCCTGAAAAATTACAGAAATAGATGGATGTGTTTGCACCAACATATCATTAGTGTTATTAACTCTGCGAGAGAAGCTGACAGTTTTGATGGTAATTAGGACGTTCACCCCAACTTCCACAGCTCGTCAGGGCCTCAGAGAAAAACGAGAACACTTAGAAATCTCTCGCTGTCTCATCATTTTTTAGCATTTTTCATTGCGTTTGGGAAATAAATCGTCTCAAAACAGTTATTTCAGAAAAAATGCAAACTTAATGGTGACCTGAAACCTAAAACTCGGCCTGCAAACATTTTTCTAGCTCATGCTGCCGAAGTGGAAACACACTGAAAACAGAGAGAAGACCTTCATTATGAGTTAAATTGTTTCAAATAATTGAATTAAGTTTGTCAAGCTTACTTTTTTTAACATGAGAACTTAAATTTCATTTCTCCTTTACTAGCAAATTAACATTTTTAAAGTTGGATCGCCTGTTTCTTCATATTTTCATTATCTTGTGTTGTGAAACCAGATCATTTCTCCATATTTTAACAACGAGCCATAAATAAACAATGTTTTGTGTTTAATACACTTCTAGATTTAGGAATGTTTGCATTGTTTGTCGACATGCTGTCAGGTGAGATGTGTGGGATCTCCTGTTGCTTTAATCGTCCCTTATGCAGGAAGTAGCTCAGCGGATCCAGGAAGGCTCCTGTCTTAGAGATGTGTAACCCAAACTGACAGGACTGTGTGGGAAATCAGCTTTGGCCGAGGGCTTCACGGATTAGACCCTATCTGCTGTTCTCCCTGCGGGCCGCTGCTCAGACCACAAACCCTGAACCCTGAATCTGCGCTGAGCCACAGGTGGGCTCAGAGGTCACCGAGGATTGGAGGTGTTTCATTTAAGACGCCAAAACAATTTCCCTGTGACCCGCAGAGCGCCTGCTCTGGAAGTCCTTCCCTGACACGGCGCAGAGACATGTGACACCGATGAACCGGCGTTAACCCGCGGGGGGGTAAGGGGGGACGACGGCCTGATCTGGGCCTCACATGCTGAACGGCGGAGACCGTGGCGGTGAGCGTTACACACAGCCTCTGGAAACATCACAATCACATCAGAGCGGTAATCTGCAGCTCTGACGAGCATTTCAAGGCCACGGAGGTTCTGGTATCTGCAGAGCTGCAGCGTTCTGTGACCGAATGAAATATAATCAAAAAGTCAGAGCTGTGTTTTATACAACCAATCAGAGCCAATCAGTGCGAGCCCAGTGGAAACTAGAGGGCAGAAGGGGTTTACAGGGGCCCCAAAAGAGCATGTTCCTCATCAGTCTCCCCGGCTCAGCGTTCTGTTTGGATTGCTGTGTTTGGATAAAGCAGATTGCTTTGCACTTAACCCTGTAATGTATGCAAAACTATTCTCCTGATAATTCTCTTTAGGCCCGGCCGCTCACCGCTCTGGCAGATGCCATAAACGGGACACGGCTTGGAGAAAAATGGCACGTAATAAATTGTGACATGGCCATCCAGGGGGGGTGTTTGCGTCTCTACATGCTGCCTGTCCCGAGCGCTGAACACACAAACACACTCAGACGTGTTTCAGTCACTTCGTGGATTCAGCTCCTGAAGTCAGGAGAGAGTCTTCTAAATCACTGAGTTGAAATAAAATAAAAGGTGTAGATTTAGAAAGAAGCACATGAACATGATATAAAGTATTCTGGTTAGATTATGGCAGAGGTCAGTTTTAAATGGTGCTTTTATGAAACAGCAAAAGGTTTTGTGAACGGCAAGTTTTTCATAACTTTAGATAGATTTTCAGCCTTCGATCCACTTGGCTGCAGCTGCAGATATAAAAGTCTAATCTTCTGTGTCTGAAAATCTCTCCTTTGGTGATCCGTTCAGTCCTGAGGGGTTCTGTTATGTTTCAGCTCAGAGCAGAAATATCCATCCTGCCTCCTTCATTTTTTCCACCCTATTTCCTCTTCACATTCACCGATACATTCACTGAACTACCTGAATGTGAAATAAAACTTCTCTACTTTCTTTTGAGTTTGTGTCATTTTAGACATGGAGGACGTAGCAGTGTAGCTTTCTCGGTTTCACTTATTTTCCTTTTTGAAAGTTGCACTTAAATACAGAATTTATATATATTTTTTTATATTAAACCTTAAATCTGTACAAAGGTTTCCTTCATATCAGGACCAACTCACAGGATAATATTTAACACAAAGATCCCATACAGAAACAGGTCAAACTGATAATGAACGGAGAAAGACAGGAAGTCTAAGTACTGCCATGGTGATGACTGAATGAAGACAGATGCACTGATTGCAGATGGATGACAGGTGTGAGGAAATGAAGGTGTTCCTCAAAGGCTGGTGTCCTTGTCAACTGAAGTTCTGCAGAATCCTGATATAAACCCAGTGATGTGATCAGGTGACACAGAGACACGTCTAAAAAGTTAAAGGTGCGACAACAGTAGGAGTGAGGAACCCCAGCTTTCAAGTACTGATGATATCCTGCAACTTTTAGCTCCGTCTCTGCTTAAAAAAAGCCTAAATCAATGGCTGAGTTCTCTCATCAGCCTTCATTCAGCTCTGCAGATGCCTGGTAAAGAACAATATTTCTTTTGATTCAGATGTGCTGGAGAAAGAATACATCTAGAAGTTGCAGAGTAGTAGCTCTCTGGGACTGAATTTGGACATATCTGTTAAAAATTACTTTAGTCCAGGTGGCTGAACACGCCTGAGTCCAGCAGCTAAAATGCAGTCAGGTTCTACAGAGTCCAATTAATGACCTAACTGTTCGATTCAGATGTTGAAGCATATATAAAAGTAGCAGGAATCCAGCCCTAGAGGTACAGTGTTTTATCTGACACCAATGCTTTACTGAGGTGTTTTAAAATAACTTGATGTGTTTCTCTGTAGGAGTTTTCTGTTTTAAAGCTGTAAGTCAAAGTTAAACCAGCAGATGACAGCAAAGAACAGAGGAAAGGACTTGAACATGGAGACTGAAACAAAATCTCTAAAGAGGAATTTTTTTTCAGAAAGCAAAAAGAGAAAAGGAGGAGCTTGATCTCATATATTACTGTCTGCTGAACTTTATTTACAATCATTTGATGTTCTATTAAAATGATTAAAGAAAACCCATTGATGCAAGCTGAGAACGCTTCCATGGATTGACGGTTCCTCTGTCTCGCCGCACCACGACTGCAGAGAGGAGCCAAGCTGAGCTGAGTGGGAGATTTCACATCAGATTTTCAGAGTGGGGTTACATCATGCATCTCCTGTGGCTCAGCATAGCGGGGAACTGAGCCTGCAGCACATCAAATTATCTTCCAGAAGGAAAGCGAGGATTTGCAGATGTCACTGAGAGCCGTTTGATGCCAGCTGAAGAGTGGCGATGATCGGAAACAAACTGTCCAACTTATATCCAAATATTTTCAAGAGATTTTAAACTTCACCCCATTTCGTAATAATTGAGAACCTGGATAATTCGACCTGAGTGGAGGATTAGTTTCACTTCATTCACCAGGTGGTGAGTAGATCCACCTGTCAACAGAAAGGACTAATGAGGCTTTTGACGCAACATCAACACTGAAGAAATAATCTACAGCAGACATTTGTTTCCTCTCATCTCAAACGTTTCCTCATTTTATCTCGCTGATTGATTTCATTTTATCTCCTCCAAAATTTTCATTTTCTAGCCATTCAGAGATCATTGTACTCTGCATAACTTGAGAGCCTTTGAGTTTAAGGTCGCAAACTGATGGTCAGACATTGCAGCAGGATTTTCTGGTAGAGAGCAGAATAGTTTGTTCTGTCAGTCAGAGGAAGCCGTACAGGTGATGAAGAGGCAAAGTAGCTCCAGACATTTCTTGCCACATCAATACCAACTGCAGTATGATGTTGTTTTTCTTAAATGTTATTAGTTTTATACCAAATTCAATGAGACTTTGGTCTCATCCTAAAACTTTTGAGGAATTTCAGACTGGTTTTGGTGAATGTAATGGCGTTAACGTGTTTTGGTCAGCAGTGGTTTTTGACTTCAATATAAAGATTCTCCATGTGGTTCCCTTGAGTTTTACACAATGCCTTTGTAATCCTTAACAGGCTGATTCATGCCAACAAACTTGATTTTTCTTAAATGAAGCGATGATGTGTTTCTCTGAGATATTGTGTCCTACTTCAAGTTGTCAGAGACGTTCTTCACCTGGAAATAAATCAGGGTGTGGCTAGATAAACTGAACTAAAAACTCTGGTCAATTGCAATTATTTAGCAACTTTACAAACAGTGGGATTACTTTTTCGCAAAAGGCCTAGTTAGTTTTTCTCTGAGTAAAATCATATAAAAACTGCTTTTGAATGTACTCAAGGTTATCGTTGTCTCTTTCCAGCTGCTGAAGTGAAAATGGTGACGGAGTTTGAACATGATATAACGAAGGAGTTTAGCGTGTCCTTTTACACATGCATGTGTAAATCTTTCATGGAACTCAAAACATTAAAGTTTTACACCAAAAGATGAATACAAAGAAATCGGCAACACAAATAATGAAATGGTTTGAACACAAAGAACAGGGAATGTCTTATTTTCTGCCTGCATTTTCAGTAACTTTACACTGGACAGTAACTGACCCCTTTACCTACAGCAACACGGTTACACCGTTAGGCCTTTAGGTGGCACTAAAATTCAACATTACAGCTGGTTGGACTTCAGACGCTCAGCAGGAGGCCAGAATGACGAACTTTAAGGTGTTTCCTGTCTGCAGGGCTTAATGTATGACCAGCAGGAACATGTCTTTAACGATGGCAGAATGTGAGCTGTGCGTTCAGCGTTGGGCTCTGTCAGTCATCAATTATCTTCATTCTGTGGAGTTTAATTGGCGAGATCTCCGGCGGAGCTGAGGATCAGTGGGACCAGTTAGGCCCGTGACAGCTGCTGAGAGGGTGACAACGTGTTCACACATCCGTCAGTGATAAGTGGAGACGGTCACACGTTCATCCTCCTATGCATCTGTAAATTGATCCCTGCTCTGTGCAGGAAATGGACTGGTCGATCAGACTGTTCTATGGATTCTGCTAAGACTGAACGAGTTTGCAGAGTTATCGGTCGGCGTCATACATAAAATAGATATACACTGCAAAAAGAAACTGCAGTGAGATGTTTGATATGCGAGTTGATTACTTATGTGCTTTTAATGAAGCACAAGGAGTAAAACCTACATTAAAACAAAAAAACAGTGGGAACGGATTGACCTGTCCAGGTTGGGCCCTGCCTCTCCTGTGGCCCTGCAATGATTAGCGGATGTTAGTGAAATTTAGAAAATAACTCCTTCTGTTTGTGCAACCTGGACAAAAATGTTAACTCCCTTTTTAAGCAACAGGTAAATTCACGTGAAGCTTATTATTTTCATTCTACTGGAACTTAGGGAGGGTTTAAACAAAAAGAAGCGATCCTCAGTTTTCAAGGCTTCAAAGATCTTTGGCAAACATGGAAATGTGGAGCCAGAATGTTGGATGAGATTCATATAAGAAGGTAGTGACTAGTTGGAAGCAACCAGACTGAACAGACTGAATGTGTCTGTTTGCCGTTCACATTTATGCAAGAAATGAAGTTTTGTTTGAGTGAAAAATCATCGACCTCTGCTTGGTAACTAAGAGTGACAGTTCATTAGGGGAAACTCATTTCTTCATTTTAATTTTTTCCATTATCAACGGCTATAGGCAATGGATGGATGGACAAGAGTGGAGTTAATATAGTTTTGTTTAAAACTTTCTTGAGAGTCTATTATGAGAATGAATATATAGAATTGAATAATGTTGCTTGGATTGAGGACCTAAACAGGAACACCACAGGCAGATAATGGTACAGAACAGAAAACTTGCAGAACTGCTGGAAGGTAGAAATGTGGAATCCTATTTGTAAAAAAAAATAACATAATATGTGTCTGAATCTGACAACTCAGCTTCAGATTCCAAGAGTAGATGCAGTCCTGACCTTCTCTTGATTAAAACAACAAAAAAAACTTCTAAGAGTTTCACTGCACTCAATTTTTGTTGACTTCGATGTGAGTAAAATTGCTGTGAGTGACGCTGTTCTTACTTGATAACAATTATTACTCTACCATCTGTGGTTGTGTAAGGTGAAGGGAAACCTCTGATTTGTGCAGATTTGAAATTGTGAGGCTCCTGTGCTTATTTTTTAACAGTTTGCAAATTATGTTATAATTTTCTGTCTGATAACCAATAAATGAATAAATTGGACATGATAAAAACATTCCTTTTTTTATTTTTTTTGAGTAACTTTTGACTATTTTTTTAATGACCACTTTTTCCTTTTGCCTGAGTAATATTACTTTAAAGTAATTATTTGCTTACTAAGATGTGTAGGTAGCATGGGACAAGATAACTCCAAAAACTGTTTATGATTTAGTTTCCTCAGTGGTGGAATACAGTTAATGTTAGAAAAAGAAAACTTAATTAAAAAACTTTTTTTTTGTTTTTACTCTTTGCTCCCTGAAATGCAGAAGCAGGGACATATTACCAAAGAAACGATGCCGATGAGACCAGCTGACATTGTTTTGACATAAAAGTCATCTTCTGACTGCTTCGGAGTTGGAGCTGTGTGGGTACCAGAGGAGTATTTTTCTCTCGCTGTCGGGCTGCTTTAGGATCAGCCGGAGGAAGAAAAGCTCAGCACCAGCAGCTATCTTTACCCTGTTGTACTGCTGCAGTCTGAGGTGAACCACCCACAGTCCTCCATTTCAACAATAAATCAGAGTTTTCCTCCAGGGCAGTTCAGTTACGACGACTAAACAGCAAGGGAGCCTCTGCATCTTTTTTGAGCCGTTAGAGGTTCAGGAGGGAACGCAGAAGCTTCAGGAAAACATTCGACTAATAAAATCCCTCTTCAGGTGTCGTATTGATTGGAAAAGGAGCAGATTGTGTCCTGAAAATTTAGAAGAAAGGCCAGAAGAGTTCTTAATTCCTGCTAACAAGCTGAAATAAAAGTGAAGCTGACAGAGTATAACAGCTTTTCTCTCATAAATTAGATCAAGCAGAGACGAAAGCCGCCTCGCGTGGTATCGATTGTAGGAACTTTAAAGTTTTCTTTCTTAAAGCCTAAAGGGACATTTTGGATTACATGAGCCATCTCTGCAGATTACAGTTGGGGTGAGAGCAGCTTTCAGTGAGGAGGATCTGTTTGTTAGTGAGACAACCAACAAAAAGGCCTCCAATGATTTCAAGTTTCTGTACCTGGAGTCAATCCCAAAGAGAAAATCTACTAAGAGTGCTCTGCTCAGATCCAACTGCCAAAAACGGATCAAGTTGTGGTTTATTGGATGAAGGAGATCCTCCATTCTTGACAAAACACTGCAAAAATGATGGAGTCAGAAACCAAAAAACTTCCCAACTAGTCTCTTGCTGTTGCTCCCACATCTGCCCTGACAAACTGAACAGAAACTGAACTCATGAAGGACTTCATCAAGTTCTTGTTCAGCTTCTGGAAGATCAGCTTTGCAGGATGGGGCCTTTTCATGCACCAGTTCCACCAGACATTTCAAGCTGGACTGAGATCTTTAGAGTTTGTTAGTGTGTCTTTCCTTAAAGTTTGAACCTTTTTTATCCAGTCATACTCTGTCTACGACAGCTTCTTACTGGCCACTGGAACCTTGTTCTCCTCTCTGCAGCTGTTGATGTTAATGGTTCTAATTGGGTGTCTTCTTTCAGCTGATTTCTCACATTTCGCTTGCAGACTTGGTTTCGTGTTTCTGCCATTTCTCGTGCCTTTTCTACTTTCTGAGCAGTTCTTGCTCTGATTTTCTCTCTGACATTTTCCCTGATTGATGTTTCTGCTGCCGGCCTGAACATTTTGAGAACAGTCAACATGTTTCTCAATCTTTTATGTTGATTTCACTTCTTGAAGAAGTTGTATTCTCCTCTCCATTGTTTTAAGCCAGCAGCTCTGTTGATGAGGTTATGCTTCCTGTCAATGGCAGAGCTGTGACAGCTTGTTAAAATAATTAACTACAGAGTGAGTCTGAAGTTAATTACTTCTTCCTCTCTTTGCCTTTCCTGTGGATCCCCAAAGGACTCGATTCTTGGGCCTCTTCCTTTTTCATTGTATCTGATTCCTCTGAGCTCCATTTTTTTTTTTTTTAGGAAACACAAATGTGCCTTTTCTTTTTATATTGTTTATTGCCAGTTTTATTTTCCCCTTAAGCAACAGGACTCCATCTCCATGCAGTCATTGTTAGAAATCTTTTAAAAACACATGAAAAACCTTGTGTAATTCTGTAAAACTTCTGTAATTTACACAAATATTTGTCACTTTTTCCTCTCATTAGTATTTACCTACAGCCCTTATTTATTTCATGGCCTACTTGATCTTTTTCAAATTAGTCTTGCATAAATAATACACTTAATTTATTTACTGTATAATCTATTTATTATGTAATTAATTCATTTATTACATCTAAGAGTAATTAAACAACTTGTTCTCAATGTTTTATTGATTCAGGATTACTTATTCATTCATGTGAATTTTAATCTATTTTCTTATTGAAATATTGATTCACTATATTATTTATTTTTTAGACTTTTAATTAAATTATAGTCTAATTATTTGTTTGGCCTTTTTTAGTTGCTTTAAAATAAATCAGTTAATTAATAAATAAATAGGTTAGTATATTCATCAATATATATTTGTGTTTATTTGTTTATATTCTTTTGTCTTCCTTCTAAATTAGATCTTGATCTCAATAATAAGGTAAAAACAATCAATTTCTATTCATTTATTGTGATTATTGTTCCATCCATCCACTGTCTATGTCGTCTCACCCTGCAGTTATTGGCTGAGAGGTGGAGGACGGCCTGGACAGGCGGCCAGTCCATCACACGGCAGCTTGGAGGCAAACAGGACAAACAACCATGAGCATAACTTTGTTATTAGGCCACTGAACATTTACAGACCAAGTCTTTCACCCAAGTCATATCCCTCATTTCTGAAAGCATCAGCAGAGCATTTCTAATGCAGAGCACATACTTAGTTTTATTCACCCTTTTCTTTCAGCTCTCAGGCTGTGAATCATTCTTTTAATATTAACTGTGTTTCAGCCTCCTCATCTTGTTTTTCCTCGGTATAAAACCTAATGTGTTAGTCTGTATGATCTGACCTTGTTTCGGCAGCCACTCGCCGGAGGTGTTTGCTGTTAAAAAGGAGTAAGTGCCGACATCAGGCAAACTGCTGACAATACACAAAAGCAAGCAATGCAGTGTTTTTATCATAGACGAGGGAAAGCGGAGGTCATCATGGAGATGTGCAGTCGTGTTGATTCCTCATCACCGAGCTGCAGATCTTAATGTTGTTGGGAAGTCTGATTGCAGGTGAACTTTTTGCAAACTGCTTTGCTCTCAGATGGCGAGCTTCCAGCCGGGCGGCGTTTAGCGGGGGTTTGTCTGATGAATAATTGCCTCTGCTGGGCACCCCGGGAAGAATCAGCACTAATAACCGTTTTAATTTAAAACAAAGCATCCTATTAATCTCAGCGGCGGGGCCCCCCGACTGTGCAGATGAACCCAACGTGCTACAAATGAACCTCGGTGAGTTTAAAAGCTGCAGTACAGGAACGTACAGTGGGAGAAAGTGTCTGATTGGATTTCAAGCTGCTTGAATAACTCTGGCTGATGAATAATAAAAAATGTAACCTGATGAAAAACGGTGTAACAAAGTGTCTGAACACAGATATCTGAGTGAGGCAGGTATTACTCACACAGCAGGACAGTGGGAACGTCTCTGCAGAAAGCAACACTTTTCATTTAGATCTT